TATCTCTCTCTGTAGTCTATTACAGAATTTCACATCGTAGCGCAAACACGCGTCTACAATATATATAAATTATGCAATAAAACACACTGAAATGCACGCACCCGTAACACTAATTAGTTGGGTGAATCTAGATTTTTTTACATTAACTATTGAGGGGGTTAGTGTTGAACTTCAATTTTTAATTAGGTGTTTCCTGCTAGAAATCACGGGCTTTCTCTCCCGCTGTCTCACACACTCTCTCGTTTTCTCAGTCTTACACACTCTCTCTCTACCTCCCCCAGTCTCACCCTCTCTCTCTCTCTCTCTCCCAGTCTCACCCTCTCTCTCTCTCCTCTTTCCTCTCTCTCTCTCGTCCTCTTACTCTCCCCCATCTCTTTCTCCCCATCTCTCATTCTAATCGCTCTCTCTTTCTCGGTTATTCGCAGCACGCCAACTGGGCTGAGCAGTACACGTGGGCGCTTTTTAAGGCCATGTCGCACATGCTCTGTATCGGTTACGGCCGCTTCCCGCCGCAGAACATGACAGACGTGTGGTTGACGATGCTCAGCATGGTCTCAGGTGCGACGTGCTACGCTATGTTCCTCGGGCACGCGACGACGCTCATCCACTCGCTAGACTCGTCCCGCCGCCAGTACCGGGAAAAGGTGCGTATAGATGCACGGCATGCTCGATGTCGCTACCTCGTTCTCTCCCTCTTTCTCCATCTTGCTTTCTCTCCCTCTTTCTTTCTCTCTCTCTCTTTCTCTCTCTTGCTTTCTCTCCCTCTTTCTTTCTCTCTCATTCTCTCTCTTTCATTGTCTCTCTTTCGTTGTCGCTTTCTCACTTCCTCTTTCTTTCTCTTGCTTTCTCTCCCTCTTTCTTTCTCTCTTCTTCTCTTCTTTTCGTTGTCTCTCTTCTCTCCGCTCTTTACTCTATCTTGCTTTCTCTTTCTCTTTCTCGTCTTCTTTCCTCCTCTTTCTCCCTCATTCTTTCTCTCTCTTGCTTTCTTTCCCTCTATTCTTTTCTCATCTTTCTCTTGTTGTATGATCTCCCTTTCTCTCTACGCTACTCTCTTACTGTCGTTGTTTCTCTCTCGCCTCTATCTGGGCTCTTTCAGTAGATAGTCGCTGATAACCTCTTACCTCTATATGCATACCTACTACTCCATGAAAATATATACCTTCCTCTGCAAGACTACTTCCTCTTCGCGTCTCTTCTCGCTCTCGCTCTTTCTCAGCTTCTCTTGCTCTCTTACCACCTCCTCCCTTTCTCTCTTGTTTTTGTTCTCTCTTGTCTTTTTTTCTCGCCAAACAGTGTCGCAGGCCCAGTGAGATACTACCTTTAAAGGCAATGGCTAGTGAGTAGACAGCTGCGCTGATCGACGCATACATCCAATCATCGTGCGAAGTAATTAACGTTAGGACAATTTAATTGCCTTGGTTAAACAAAATGTCGTTAATTGACAGCGGTGCGAAAGTACTCGTATATAATTTGCGGCGTAGGCCTACATATTTGTGCGCGTACACGTTAAACCTTTCGATTTAATCATGTCGCACCTCTTTCATGAGATATATGCGTGATGAGGTATATCTATATGGTACGCCGTATTAACTTGAAGTGTTGAGATATGTTACAGGCGACTATAATGGGCATAAACTAGTTCGTGGTGTCATCCGACAATGTAAGAAATCGGTTTCGATATCTTCCTAAGTGATTAATCGGATCGTCACACAAATACGCTCTTTATTATAATGCGGGGTTCATGTCTTTAGTATTCAGGGTTTTTTTAAATTATTATTAACTCTGGTTACCCCCTCCATTTGTTCGCAGGCGCCGCCTAACAACCAACTTTCATCATAGGACTGCCACCTAACCAACAATCATGAGAGCATCACAGCCTGTGGCCTAGCGAGCGTCACTGATAGTCGCTTATTCAACCACTATCTTCACAGATTCTACTTAGAAAACAATCATCGTCTTGAGACGACATCGTGCTCTCTCATTTCCTGTTGTTATCCTTTTTGCTGTTTTCACTGTCGCTTCGCAATATTTGCGTCCGTTATTACAACAGTACAGCCGGTCTTAGATCGTTAGATTACGCTAAAGATGATCCCGAGTTGTGATTCAGCTTTTGCAGGAAACGAGTTTTCTCGCTCGGCTCTTTCAAGTATACCCTCGGCGACAGTGGCGTTCTTTCGTTCCTTTTGTTGTCCGCGTGCAACTGCGCAGCCGGTATGCGCTGCGTTGCATCTCTTTTTATAGTGATTTAATGCAAGCGTACATTTATAGGGTGCCTCCTGGCACCGGATTCTAACTATCATCAACACGCCTATTGATGTGAACACTCGGAAAGGGTTTCGGAAACCTCGCGGCGGTAGCGCTCATCGCATCACGAAATCATGTGTCCTTGCTAAGATTCGTGTCGGTTGTCGGGCTGGCGGGCTCCCGTCTTCGATGCTGGGGGGCGTAGTATGGACATGCATCAATTACTCAGATTGTCAGGCCGAGATGGGTATCGATTCAAGCAAGCTGCGAGTATAACGCACGCGAGAGCTGGACGTTATCGAGGAATCCTTTAATCGATAATAAACCTAACGCGGTCTGCCCCTCCTCGGACGACGACATCCCCCCTCCTTGAGAGACGCGATGTTGATGATTCCAAGGGCCTTTAAGTGGATGAGGACGGTTGTGAATTGCTTGCAACTGGTCGCATATGATGAGTGCAACGAGGTCGTTGTGGGTCGTCGGGCCGTCGCAAAATCGAGCGCTTCGATAATTACTTGCATTCAATTGGATGGCCTGCAGTGAATGAACGCCGGGGTCGAGAGGGTACTTTAGATTTCTATTTGCGCGGCGCGCACCGGCACACAACGACGTACAGACAACACACACACACACACACACAAACGAACACACACACACACTCGCGGGCGCGCGCGGCACGCCAAGTGCAGACACAAGACACATACGCACGGGAACAAACACACGACACAAGCCACACAACACACACACACCACACACACACAGCACAACACACACAACACATACGCACACACACACACTACACACACACACACACACACACACTTCACACACACAGACGCGCGCGGGCGGCGGGCCGCGGGCAGCAGCACACACACTCTCTCTCTTCATCTCTCTCTCTCTTTTCTCGTCGGTCTCTCCTCTCTCTCCTCTCACTCCTACACTCACACTCACAGACACGACTGATCTCTTACTATTTAGAATATCTACGAGTCACAGACAAAAATGTCCACGGAGAAAGATAACAGCATTGTAGCGAGTACATCGATTCATTAGACCGCCCGCTGCCTCTCTGGAGCCGTGGAAATTAGAACACGCCGTTAAACAAGCATTCATCGCACGCTCCGGCGATTGTGAGAGAATTACGCGAAACGCAATTTTCTTTTAAGCTGCATGATTGTTGCCTTCGCCAGCGAGAAATTACAGTAAATAGGAAGTGGGGTCGACAAAACGTGAGAGCCAGCGGCAAAACGTGTTCCACGGCTGTGCTTGCATCCAGTCCGCCCGGTTTCTCTTAGTTTTACACTGTTCTGGGGTCGCTGTCAGGCAAGACAAAATGTCTAGTCGTCACAGTTTCGATTGACACAGGCCGGAGCGTATATATATAAATAATATATAAATAAACAAAACACACGACAGGTGTACGCACGCATGACACACATACACGTTGCACGCGCACACACGACACCCATACACATGTCCCAAAAACAAATATCATACACACACAACACACTACACACACACACAAAGCACCGACACACACACACACACACACACCACACACACACACACACCACACACACAAGGCACACGTACATACACACACACACACACACACACACACACACACACACACACACAGCACGACACACCACACACAGTGATAAGGGCACGCACACACACAACACACACACACACACACACACACACACACACACACACACACACATACACACACACACTATATATATATATATATATATATATATATATATATGATTGTACATATTTTATATCTAAATGTTGATACTAGCAACGATAAGCAGCGCATTCTAAGAGAACTTGCAAGAATATTTCATCCTATAATTTTTATTCAGCAAAAAATACTGCCGGCGTCACGTGTCTATCATCGAGTGAAAATACAGTTTGAGTATTATTAGAACGTCAGCGTAATGAGTCTGTACTTTTACCCAATATGTATAAGATACATCCGTTAATTGAAATGAATGTTTAATAATTGGACTAAGATATAAGATGTATATTTTTCTGGATATCGACCAGTAAGCGAATTATTCCCTGGCTTTGTAATAAAATTCCGGCAGACGATGCGTTTCTGTAACGGGCGTGAAAGGCCCAGTGAATGCGAAATGATGAAATAAAATGAGGATGTTCAGATTCTGCGCTACGAGAAAATTGAATTGGATTTGCAAAAATCCCACCAACCGGACATCAATGCCCGTTAAAACATGGCCGTTACAGTGGCTGCAGAAGGGCGAAGTTGCGAAGGATTTCTCCGTGGCATATGACCATGACCCCAATTTTCACTTATCTGGAGGAAACTTTCGTAAAATCGAGTTTTTCGCTGTGAAGTAAAATATATACGTGGTTAGAAACCATTGTATTACAAGAGCATTTCGTGGAAAAATTGTTATGGGCAACTCACTTCAATCGCCTCCATTCAGTCGACTCCAACACTTGTGCTGGGTAGGAGAGTTGTGAATGGAACTTTTTCTTCGTCGTTGCTTTACTATCGGTACTGCCTACGTTTTCCTGTTACTCAGCGTCAAATAACTCGAGCTACATTCAAACTTTTGTGCAAGAGCTGTATTGCTCATTGTGGTTTATTTTCAGACGTTGGAAATGCATAAAATCAGCTTTAAGTTAAAACTGAATGAGCTCTCTGCAGGCATCACCTAGATACAGAGACGACGCTACACATAAAGCTGCACATACTACATAAATGGATAACGCTGGTTTCGCCAAAAATTGTATCTCGTGCTCTCGCACTATACAATAGCATTTTGCGAATAATAAATGCATAATGATAGCTAATCAACATTTTTGCTCGTCCGGATTTTTATTCGATGTATTTCCGTTCCTAATTATGATGACGGATTCCAATGATCGACTGGCAGACGAAACTGCCGAATATGTCCGTTCTGGGCAATCAGCGATGACGTTGTTTTATGTATTCATTAAAATTCCGTCTAGGCATCTCAAAATCAACAAGTCGAAACGTCCCAGGATGGGGCCAATATCATGTTCGATTCAATTACGTTTTTAATTAACAATCGATTGCCTATAGAGGCATTCACAAACATTTGATCGACAAATTTACGCAATGAGAAGTGAAGCAGTTGCCTTATTATTCACTGTAATATCACGCGTTCACTAGTCATTATCACGGTTACTGGTTCTCCGCAGCAAATACTATTATATATATATATATATATATATATATATATATATATATATATATA